AGATATACTAAACAATCGAAAATACTTTGCTCAAGAAATAGACTATGTCTCTTTGACGAGCTGTAGTTTTGTGCCCAGTATAGCAAGAGTCACTTACGCTATGGACTAAAATTCTGACTAAGATGATGGGGAAACGTTTGGGAATGTGCCAAGTTAACGGTCCAAAGCTGGAAATTATCGTGACTGCTTAGGCAGATAACTTTGGATAAAGTGCACTTATCCAGGTTCCAAAGACAACAGGATCAAAAGAGGTCAAACCACCCGAAAATAAAATGTCGTATAATGCTCTGCAGTGTAAACAAAACAAATTGGCAGACGAACGCACGAGATAGCTCGGAATTTCACAACAGCTCAACACATATAGCGAAAGGTATGTATAAAACTGGGTTTCGAAGAATCCCTGAATAGATTGATGTTGGATTAATGTAATTTCGTTTGAAGAGGCGAGTGGAAGGGATTCGTAAGTTGGTTCAACCAGAGGCTGTAGGGGGATTGCCTTAGAGCTTTGGTTGTAGATTTGTCCGAATAGGTCCTCGGCGCATCGCCATGCGACCCCGATGAATCCTTGCTGAGCTGTCGTCCGTCACGTGACGGACATGTCAGAGCAGCCCACAATGTTTTGACGGTGATTCACCAGAACACGAAACCTACCAATCTATCTGGTATCCTGTGCGAGCCATGCGTTCGACCAATTGAGATTTTTGGACCCACAGATCTTTGCAGGCAGTTTTGTGTTCAGATAACCTATTATGTATGGACCTACAGGTCTCTTTCACTTAGGAGCTACCACATTAACACAAAACCTTGTAACAGCTTGATCTAAAGAGCAGATCAGATTATTCTCGAAGAGAAGGTAATACCGAGGACAGTGTTATTTTCGCTTTATAAATGGTCCTGATGTCCCAGCTCCTCAGTAATTCGCCCTTCTTCTTCGATAGATTACATGATGGCAGCATAAGGATTCTGATAGAGTGTTCTAACTTCTTATATAGCTCAAAATATGTGCTTCCCTCCATCCTATTCGACAATATTCTAAAATAATTGTCAACCGGTACTCGTAGATAATTATTCTCAACCAGAGTGCGCCTTAGTTTCATCATTACCTGGTCTCAATGTTTAGCATCTGCCAGACGCTGTTTCTTTTTTATTATACACTTCATAGCTCCTACTTTTAATTCTATGAGTGTGGTTGGAAAAGAAATTCACTAGGAAGCCTCAAGTTAGAAAACGAAGATGTTTTACCTTTTCTTGATGTCCTATTTAGTGTGGGGGGGGAGGAAAATTAGGTAGATGTGTGTATAGGAAACCCATAAATACAGGTTTCCTTTGAATTTGTTCTCCATTCACACTCAGAGTTAAAGTATGAGCTATGAAGTCTATGATAATGAGACAGCGTCTGGCCATTGGGACCAGGTCATGATGAAACTAAGGCGAATTCTGGTTGAGAATAATTATCCACGAGGACTGGTTGACAACTATTTTAGAATATTGTCAAATAGGATGGAGGGAAACACATTTTTGGGGCTAGATAAGAAGTTAGACCACTCTACCAGAATCCTTATGCTGCCATCGTGGAATCTGTCGAAGAAGATAGGCGAATTACTGAGGAGCTGGGACACCAGGACCATTTAGAAAGCGAAAAAACACTGTCCTCGGTATTGCCTTCTCTTCGAGAATACTCTGACCTGCTCTCCAGATCCGGTTGTTACAAGATTTTGTGTTATTGTGGTAGCTCCTAAGTGAAAGAGACCTGTAGGTCCAGCTCTGATGATGTCCATCATTTGATGAACGAAAGCTCAGCTCGTTTTCACCCGAAACGAGGAATGAGTTCTCGTTGACTGCATCAACCTGAACGCCGCATAAAAGCCAAACGGCGGCAGTACAACGAGATTCATCCATTCTCTTCTGGTGAGATCGACCTACGAATCTCTTCTTCATGCACTTTCATACAAGTCTGTTTTGTGTCTACAGGTTTGTCCCACATAGGCACTATCACATGAGCACGAAATCTTGTAACAGCCCGATCTGGAGAGCGAGTCAGAGTATTCTCGCTTTATAAATGGGGTCCTGATGTCTCAGCTCCTCAGTAATTCGCCTATCTTCTTCGACAGATTACACGATTCTGGTAGAGTGGTCTAACTTCTTATCTAGCCCCAAATATATGCTCCTCTACATCCTATTTGACAATATTCTAAAATAGTTGTCAACCGGTCTTCGTGGATAGTTATTCTGAAACAGAATGCGCCTTAGCTTCATCATGACCTGGTCCCAATGTTTAACATCTACTAGACGCTGTTTCCTTTTTATCATACACTTCATAGCTCCTACTTTTAATTCTATGAGTGTGGTTGGAAAAGAAATTCACTAGGAAGCCTCAAATTAGAAAACGAAGATGGTTTACCTTTTCTTGATGTCCTATTTAGTATAGGGTGGATCAGATTAGGTAGCTATGTGTATAGGAAATCCACAAATGCAGGTTTTCATTGAATTTGTTCTCCATTCACACTCATAGAGTTAAAGAAGGAGCTATGAAGTCTATGATATTAAGGAGACAGCGTCTGACAGATGTTAAATATTGGGATCAGGCCATGATGAAACTAAGGCGCATTCTGGTTGAGAATAATTATCCACGAGGATCGGTTGACAAATAGGATGGACGGAAACAGATATTTGGGGCTAGTTAAGAAGTTAGACTACTCTACCAGAATCCTTATACTGCCATCGTGTAATCTGTCGAAGAAGATAGGCGAATTACTGAGGAGCTGGGACATCAGGACCCCATTTATAAAGCAAAATAACTCTGTCCTCAGTATTGCCTTCTCTTCGAAAATACTCTGACCTGCTCTCCAGATCCGGCTGTTACAACATTTTGTGTTTACGTGGTAGTTCCTTAGGGAAAGAGACCTGTAGGCCCATACATAATAGGTTATCCGAACACAAAATTGCCTGCAAAGATCTGTGGCTCCAAAAATCGGAATTGGCCGAACACATGACTTGCACAGGATACCAGATAGATCGGTCTAATGCCAAACGCTTAACTGAATATTGGTATTGTACCAACCAACAAGCGAAAGATTAGGGAGGTGACAGAAATCAACAAAACAGCCAAAACCCTGAATAGAAGGAATGCTTGTAGAAGGTTAAGCGGAAATTACTTGTGGCTGTTG